TAATTGAAAATATTTTAAACACATATAATGTTGTTTTATTTATGAAAGGGACAGCTTTAAATCCTTATTGTAAATATAGTAAACAAGCTATTCACATTCTCAAATTAAATAAAGTAAAAGAAATCCATACTGTCAATATTTTAGATAATCAACAGCTAAGAAATGCTTTAAAAATATATTCTAAATGGCCTACTTTTCCTCAATTATATGTTAACCAAAAATTTATAGGGGGCATAGATAAGTTGCAAGAATTGCATGACCAAAATAAATTCAAAGATATTATATAAAAAAAAAAAAAAAAAAATATATATATATATATATATATTTATTTATTTATAATTATATTTATATAAATGTCCATTTTGCTTTTTTAAAACAAGGGCATATTCAAATGTATTTGTAATTTTTTGTACAAAATAAAATATATATATTTTATAAAAAACACAAATAAAAAAATAATTACACATATATATAAATATATATGTATATTTTATATATGTGAACAAAAAAACAAAATAAATTAAAATAAAAATAAGAAAGAAATGTATATATAATAAATCATATATATATATATATATATATATATATTTATTTATTTATTTATTTATTTTTTATTATTTATCTTTTATTTTTTCCCACTATTATTATGTGCTTGTGGTTTATTTTATCAAATTCAATAATTTTGCTTATATAAACTAATATTCAAAAGATTAAATTAAAAAAGTCATATGGGAATAGTTTCCATATGATATGATTTTTTTTAGGAATATAAAAATGAAAGGAATTATTATATTTTTCAAAAAATTCATATAAGTATTCATTATATATAATTTCATCACCATAAATTAAACTTGATTCTGGTACATAAGCAAAATGGAAAACTTCCTCATCAGTTTGATTAGTATCATTTTCTTTTTCTTTTTCTTTTTCTTCATAATTTTTATTATATGTTAATTTATCATTAGGATCATAATCCATTTTGTTTTTATTATTTCTATTTTTATCATGTTGATTAAAATGATTCTTATGATCAACTTCATTTACATTTACATTTAAATCTACATTTACATCTACATTTATATCAACATTTCTATTGATATATACATTGTCAATTTCCTTATTACCTTTATTACAATTCTTTCTATTTGAATCCTTAGTATAACAAAATATATTTTGATTTTTTTTCTTCTTGTTATTTATTAAGAGAAGATAATGAACTGTATTTTGAAATTCAGGGGGATATTCAGAAAATGATTTTTGTTTCCATTCATTAGGAGCAAAACATGAATAATCCCAACTAACAACTACAGCTTGATAATTCCAGTACTTGTGTCTTACAACATTTCCTATATGGAATATGGGAATGGATTTATAAATGCGTTTCCTTACATAATTGCCTAAACCGAAATGATATTTTTTTCCAAATATTATTTCTGTATCTTTTGGTATAGCTTCAAAGGAAAGGAAATTTTTATTTTTAAATATTTTATTTTGTAAAAGATAAAATTCAAATAAATTCATTTTATCATCATTACTAATAAAATGTTCATTCTTTAATATATCCTCTTTATTAAATAAAAAATTAGGAAATGTATATGCATTATGATTTTTATAAGATGATACATTCTGGTCATTCCATTTATGTCTAATATTACCAATATGGTTCATACTATTATTATCATTACTTATAATATTACTACTTATAATATTAGGTATACCATCATATTTATTATAGATAATATTATTAAACGTATTGTTTGCCCACTTATCCTGAAGTTGGGAACTAGCTGCATATATATTCCTAAAACATTTTACAGTTTCCTTTTTTGATGTCATGGGCACATGTAACATTGGATGAGCACACACATAAGGTGAAGTTATATGCACATAATAATGACATTCCGTTGATTGAAAGACATTAACAACTTTTGTTTGCATTCCACTTTTGTAATTTAAAGAACAGTCAAAATATATGGTCGTTAGGTAATCATGAACTTCGTCTAAGGAATCTATACATTTTCCTCCCTTTAAATCAAATGCTAAAGCTTTATAAAAACTACCATTTCCATATTTGAGTACCTCCAATGGCTTATCAATTATATAGGTACTTACATATGGCATGCGGTGTGCTGATGAAGAAAAGTAAGCAGAAAGGGAAGTTATGTAAAAAGGGGTATAAGACACATTAAAAGATGATGGGAATAAGTTTGGTGGTGACAACGTACTTGATGAGGATACTCTTTTAGTAGGAAATGTATTATTTGGTGTGGTCATGCTATTTTGTGGTGATATATTACCTGGTGTTCCCATACTATTTGGAGATAAGCCATGTGTTAAAGAAAATTCCTCTAAAGACGATAATATTTGTGAGGAAGTTAATGTGTTTTTATTTGAATAATCATATTTTACATCTGATAATATATTTGAATTATTTGTAGTCGTAGAAGATACTAAATTTTGTTGTGTATTCAAAGAATTAGATGTTGAAAGGTTTCCTTTCAGTTTATTATAATATTCTATAGTTTTTTTCATCATATGATTAGATTTTAATACAGGAAAAATATCATACATTTTTTCATAAAAGGGTTTACCTTGAATAAGTGAATTATATGAAGATCCTAATAATACTAATGGATACTTTTCTTTTCCAAAAGCATTTTTCTTATATTGTATAACACTATATGGTAAACATATTTCAAACATTGTATCATCTTCTCTAATAAAATGATGACATTTATTCATGAGATTTTTTAAAAGAAAAAAATTTGGAGGATTTATTTTCTCTGTATAATTACAAAACATATAACCACTTAATGTAATACGATATAAATATATAGCTTCAGGATAATACATATTTAAATTCTGTATTAATTTTTGTTTTAATGATTTATAATAATGTTCAGAATATTGATAATTAGAAAAAGATTTAAAAAAATATATATCATTATCTTTTAATTTTTTTATTATAATATTATAAAGTTTCGTAATAGTTGTATTTAAATGTTCATATATTTGAAAAATAAATGGATAATATATATTATACAGCTTTTCAAAACTGTTAACTCTTAAATTATTATTACCACATAAAAATAATACTTCAAAAAAATATTTGCCATCACTATAATATTGTACAACAGTATTATTAGAAAATAACAAATCTTTTCCTATAGCATAAGTAGATATTGTGATATGCTTTTTATGTTTCGTAGGATATCTTTTTGTTATAAATGATATAGATTTATTTAAACATATTTTTAATATATTTCCATTAGAAAAAGCATCAATACATGTATTATTTATCGTTAACATTTTCCCTTTTATTATATGATTCTTTAATAATATATCATCATTAATATTATTATATATTCTATATTTATGATATGCATTAATTTTATGTTTATAAAAAATATAATCATATACCTTTTTAAAATTACAATGAAATTTATTATTTAATTTATCAATCTTTTCACTTCTTTCATTCGATAAATAATCATAATGATTTTTTTTTTTTTTATCTTTTATTTTTTCCTTAAATTCTTTGGTATATTTATTATTTAATCTATTGAATTCATTATTACATGTCCAACCACTATTATTACTCCTCTTATAACTTGTATTATCATCAATATCTTTTATAATATTATTTTTAAGGTCATTTCCTTTTATATTTTCTTCTTTCATGTTCATCCAGTTATGTACATTATGATATTCAATTTCGTAGTTATCCTCCTTTAGGTATAAATTATAGTTCATATTATTATTATCTGAATATTTTAAAAGAAAGTTTTTATTTAGCTGTTCTTCCACATAATCATAAATATTGTAGTTCGTATAATAATCATTGTTAATTTGATTGTCACCATTATTACTGATATGTTTATTCTTATTATTAATATAATTATAATTATTATAATTATTATAATTATTCTTATTCTTCTTATTCTTCTTATTATTATTATTTATTCCTTTATGTTCGTCAACCCCATTAAGATAAAAATCATCGACATTTTTCAATAAATCATATTTTTCACATGTATCAAAACTATCAGACTTATCTAATATACAAAGAAAGGAATCTTTTCCTACAGTTATGTTAGTATATTTTAAGGATCTATCTAAATTAATTAAGGTACTAGGTACACTATAATCTAGTTGTATCTGATATTTTGTATTTAAGAAACATATGCAAACCAATACGTTTACAATAATAACAAGAAAAGTAAACATCTTTTTTATATCATATTTACTCTGATATTTTTCATTATTCGATATATTTTATATATATATAATATAACTTGAAATTAAAAAAAAAATAAAAAAATAAAAAATGGTACTTTAAATATTAATGGCTAATAAGTAGTATATAAATATATATATATATAGTAATGTGTTTTGTTATTTTCTCTTTTATTTGTTATTTTTTTTTTAATTTATATCTACTACTTATATATAATATATATATATATATTATATATGTACGAATGTGTAATATAAAAAAAATAATAAATAAGAAATTAAATTTCAATATTAAATATATAATGGGATTTACAAAAAAATTATAACATTATACAATGTATTACTATTATATATATATATATATATATATATAAATATATATGTGCAGAATATTTTATCTGGTCCTTGTAATTTTTATTTATTAAATATTTATATTTTTTTTTTATCGCGAACATATTGGAATATATAAATATATATATATATATATATATATATATATATATATATATATATAATATTATTATTCCTTTTATTTTATTATTATTTTTAATTATATATTTTATTTTATTGTTTTTGACTCTTATAATCCACCCATTTTATAAGAATAAATTTAATTATAATTCTATTTTATTAAAAAAACATTATCTTTGAATAAGGCATTATATATAAAAAAAAAAAAAAAAAATGTATATATATATATATATATTTATAGATAATTTTTTTTTACTATTTTTACAATACATTCATTTTATATTTAATTCATTAAAAAGATGATGAGAACTAAGTATTATATACAAGAAGAAATAGAAGAAGCAAGAAAAAAAAAAAAAAAAAAAAAAAAAAAACTGAAACTTGAAATAAGTGGCGAAAGATATTTCAATTTTCTTTATACAAAATTTTTCTTTTTTCTTTTTCTTTTTTCTTTTAGAAGATATAATCTTAATTATATTTTATAAAATAAATTAAAAAAAAATATAATTGTAAAATCTTCTTAACAAGAACAAATATAAAACATTTGTATTCCTATTATTATTTCATTAATGAAATAATAATTTACAAACTTGATAAAATAAAAATAATAAAAAAATAAAATAAATCTTTACGAATGTTAGAGATAATTTTTATATATTTTATTTTTTACCTATTTATCAAAACACCAAAAGGAAAAAAAAAAGAAAAGGAATATATATATATATACATATTTGTCAATTGGACAAAATTGTTTGCCTCCTTTGACAATATGAATTTTTTTTTTTTTCCTTTTTTGCTTCTTCTCATTTCTATTATCATGATTGAAGAATAGAAAAAATCTTTGGTAATCTGATTTTTAATGAATTAAAAATAAAATTTAACAATAGCAATAGTTTATAATTTAAAAATATATATAATATAATTATATTTCTTTTTATGACAAATATATATAAATTATAGACATAATAATATATATATATAAATATATATATATATATATATATATACTTTTAACCTTGCACTTTTTCCTTTTTTTTATTTCCTTGTTCTTTTTTCAAATATGGAGAAATAAATAAATAAATATACATATATATATATATATATATATATATATATTTATATGTATAAAATATAAATACTAAAAAAGTACAAAATTTCATAAAAAATTTACATGTTAATAATAATAATAAAGAGATCTCTATACCTTCAACATTATTCTCGTAAATAGTGTAATGCGATAGCAAATATAAAAATTATGAAAATGAATTATTAAAAAAAAAAGAAAAAAAAAAAAAAAAAAAATAAAGAAAAAAACATGAAAAATAAAAAAAATATAAAAAAATAAAAGATATATTTTTATTGTGTAATAATTGAATCTACGTTAGTTAATTCTCCTTCAGAATCTTCTTCATTTTCTTCATTTCTCATTCTTTTTCCTATTGTAAACAAATTTAAATAAAAATTATGATAAATGATAATAATACAAAAAAATGACAAATGAATAAATATAAATATATATATATATATATGTATATGCAAAAAATATAAGAACAATATACATATTTATATATTATATTTTTTTATCTTATTTTTGTATTACTTTCTAAGATAATATTTCCTACACGGTAAATTATAGAACCAAATAGGTAGCCAAACTGTAAAAAAAAAAAAAAAAAAAAAAAATATATATGAACGAACAAGCCATTTGATATTACACACACATTATACATATTATTTTGTTCATAAAAAAAAAAAAAAAAAAAAAATCATTTTTTAATTTCACTTACCAAAGTTACGAAATCTAATAATCTTGGTTCTCTTACAACATCACCCTATAAAATTAAAAAGTAAAAATAATATAAATGAATGCATACAATTATTATAAAATATGAAAGTTGTATCATCATAAACATTTAAAGGTATATTGTAAAAATAAAAAAAAAATTACATATGGATATATATAAAACATATATAATATATATATATATATATATATATATATATATATATATATATATATATATTTATTTATTTATATTTATATATTTTTAATTCTTACGGCTAAGAATTTAAAGTAATAAGCAATTGCTATTGCTGGACCTTGTATACAACTGACAATAGTATAAGTCATTGTAGAAAATTTGTCGATAATCTATAAAAAACATGGAAAATGAAAAATTATAAGGTTATATATATTTTAAAAATCCAATTAAACATTCACAAATTTTATTTTCTCTTGTATGTATCAATGTTTTTCTTCCTTTTAATTCTTACATAGCTGGTTATTAAATTATCACAAATATTAAAGAAGGAAAACAAAGCGAAGGTTTTCTAAAAAAAAAAAATAAATAAATAATATAATATATATATATATATATATATATATAATATTGTTTTATTTAATTATTATTGTTAAAATATATATAAATGTCTTTTATAATTTTGCATAATCTTTATAATATTCTTACCCATGCTCCGTCACAATCATCACATAACTTGGCCATACCAAGACCACAATTCTGAAGAGGAAAAAAAAAAAAAATAATAAATAAAATAAATTGAACATTAAAAAATATATTTTTTATTAACATGATAAGTAGTAATTTTTAATATATAATACAAATCCTAGTTTACCTCTACAACTGTGTTTCTTCCCAAAAATAGGCATGCGAAACCATTTTTTATATTTGTCCATATTTCATTATATGGCAAATGAACTAAAAAGGAAAAATTATACATACATACATATTTATATATATTTATATGGGCATATTTTATTAAATTTTATTTTTTTCATTAATAATTAATTCTTACGTTGTTTTAAGAATGGAAGAGTGTATACAGGTAATATGAGACAAGAAGTGAACAATTGGAAAAAGGATACCATAGCCTATAAAAAATAAAAATAATAGATATAATTATAATGCATTATACGAATAAAAAGAGGTGGTAAAAAAGGAAATATATATATATATATATATATATATATATATATATATTAATATTATTATTATATCTTTCTGCTTACATTTAATCTTAAAATATTAATCTTATATTTTTTAAAAACTATTTCCCTTGTCATGTTTGAAAAACATACAGGCTAAAAAAAAAAAAAAAAAAAAAAAAAAATAATGATAAAGAATATAAATGAATATAATAAAGACATAATTTATGTGTTAATATTTATTAAACAATATTACAACATATATATATATATATATATATATATATATATTTATATTTTTATTTTTATTTATTTATATATTTTATCTTACAATTAAGGCACTAATTAAGACAAGATTAAATATGATAGAATTTTCTTCTTGAGTTTCAAATGATAATTTCATTTCTACAAGAGCTATTGTTACAACAATAATAACTGCTCCAAGATAGTTGTATAAGTGATATCTAAAAAGGAATAAATAAACATAAATATAAATATAAATATATATATATATATATATATATATATTATCATATATATTATATATATCCCTTTTTTTTGTAATTAAAAATGATATACTTACTTATATCTTAATATTAAAAAACAGAAGAACATATTAATAGGAATACTTAATTGAAGAACAAATGATTGGATATTTCCAGTAGTTCTTGTAAGACCTATGAAGGCCAAAATAACTGAACAGGCGTCTAACATGGATATAGCAAAAAATTGCAAATTAAAACTTCGATGTCGTTCCTAAAAAGGTTATAAAAAAATAAATATAAATATATAAACAAATAAATGAATATACATAAATGTATATATATATATATATATATATATATATGTAATGTTTAATATTCGTAGGTTGAATAGATTCTCTTATAAATCCATCATTATATTATATCCATTTATCTTACTTTTGAATTTCCCTTTGTATTTCCAAATAAGGAATAAACAATAAAGAACATAATCATACAAATAAAGTTGTGAGTTTCTGATGTTACAAAACTATAGTTACCAATTTTGTTTAAAGTTCTTTTGGCAAAAATTTTATTCATTACACATACACTTAAATAAATAATACTTAAAACATAAATAAAAATATTATCCTTAATCTCTTTAAAAATAAGTTTAAACACATGAGCACATTTACCAAGGCAAGAACCACCACATAATTGTGAGCCATCTGTTAAGGTCAAAAAGGGAAAAAAAAAAAAAAAAAATTAATACACATATATATATATATATATATATATATATATATATATCCAATAGGTGGATATATCTATTCATCTATATCATTCCATATTTCTGTTTGTGGATACTTACTTCCTTCTTGTACTAAATTATCTAATTCTCTATAACGCTCGTCATTTTTGCTTGAATTTTTTTGATTATTTTTTTTACTTGTGAATTTCATTTTGTTATATGTAAGAAATTAAAAAAAAAAAAAAATAATAAAAATTAATTTATAAAAAATAATATGACAGAGTGTATTTATTTTTAACGGATGTTATATTCTAAAAGTATAATATATCGGAATGTCGATTTTAAAATATTAATTTCATATATGTGGAAGACAATGAAAATAATCTATAGAATTAAACTTTTTAAAAAATATACACGTATATATATATATATATAAATATATTCACATATATATATATATATATAATATTATTTTCATATATTATTAAACATTCTCCATTAAAAAAAAAGAAAAAAAAAAAAAAAAAAACTTATGTATTATAAAAATATTGACATATCAATATATATATATATATGTATATATATATTATATATAAAATACAAAAATGGAATCACAAATATATAAAAAATATATTCAAATATACATCATATATATATCTAAAATATTTGTACAAAATATATATATGTTCATTAAAAAAGGCTTAGAAGTACAACTTGGGAAAGTATAAAAAAAAGGAAAAAAAAAAAAAAAAAAAAAAAAAATGGTAATATATATAAATATATATATTATATATACATAAATATATTTTTATAAACAAATTGTTTATAAATAAATTCTATTTAAATTATATAAACACTTTATATAACAATTTATATAATGGAGGACATTTATTAAAAATATATGTACATTTTTTTATTAAGGTAAAATACTTAATTCCAAAAAAAAATATATATATATATAATAAAATATAGAATATATATATATATATATATATTTATACAATAAAAAGAATGAACAATCGAAAGTCAAAAAAAAAAAAAAAAATGGTTCAAGTATAAAAGAATATAGATACTTTTAGAAGAATGTTATATTATTATATTTCAAAAAAAAAAATATATATATATATAGTTTCCTATATAATAAATAAATATATATATATATATATATATATAACATATTATTTAATATTTATTTATTAATATATATGAAATTAATAAATAAATACAATTTCTATATAAAATTTATTAAAATAAAATTTTCTTTTATCTCATCATGATATATAATAAAAAAAGTATGGAAATATATAAATTATATATTATGATGGACTATAATTAAATATATACGAATTTTTTATATATATTTAAACAATAAAAAAATAAAAAATAAATAATCGGAAAAATAGGAATTTATAAAAAATATATATTTTATATATAATAATAAAAATAGGTATAAGTTCTTTTTTTTTTATTTATAAATTATAAAAAAATATATAAAATTTCTTTTTTCATATGGAAAAAAATAAAAAAATATATATTAAGAAAATATTTATTTTTATATAGTAGTATAGTAAGCTTTCTAATAATATAAAATAAATTTATATAATATTATGTTGTTATATATATATAATATATTTATGTATATAGATCATTACAACTATATAAAATTTCAAATTATTATATAAATACAATGGGAGTTTAAACTTTTAT